AAAGTCATATCTTGGCACTCAATGAGGATTTTAGAGGGGGCTAGACAGAGAAATCTACCGGCAGCTTTGGTGTTTGTTGATTTTGAGAAGCCCTTCTATTTACTTCACCGGGGAATTTTGCGAATACTTAAGGCTTATGGAATACCGGACAGTATTGTGTATATCATTAATCTACTCTATGTCAACACGAAGGGCAAAGATCCTGATACCATAAAGTCCCTGGGTAACAGCACAATAGAGCATGTGGAAGACTTCACTTACCTGGGTTCTAGAATCAGAGACAGTGAGAGTGATATCAGGGTTAGGAAAGGAAGAGCATGGGGAGCATGCCACACACTCAAAAAACTTTGGAATTCTAAGCTTAGGAGGTCTATCAAGATCAAGAAGAAGAGTGTTTACAGCACTAGTCAAGTCGGTGCTTTTTTACGGTTCCGAGACTTGGACTATGACGAAAAGGCTAGAGAAGATGGTTGATGGTTGCTATACGCGAATGTTAAGAATGGCCCTTAACATCAATCAATATCGAGACCATGTCAGCAACCACAGCCTGTACAGTGAACTTCCCAAAGTCAGCTCCAAGATAACCCAACGAAGGCTCAGACTTGCAGGTCATGCTCATCGACATCCGGAGCTGGCACTGAACAAACTGATCCTCTGGAGTCTGGAAGCCGAGTCATGGGCATACTAACAGGGGGCGACCTTACTTAACATTACTAGATAACCTAAAAGCAGATACTGGGCTGAAGTCAGTAGATGAGATAGCTAGACTGGAGGTCAGAAAGCTGTGGAGGACAGAAAAGCTGTGGAGAACACTACCCGCCTTAGGCTTAAGTCAAGTCAAGTATATCAAACATTAAAGAGCTTGGACATTATAATATCATATAGTCGCAAGCAAAGAGCACACAGCAGGCACAAATAAGTTTACTTTGTCACATACTCTTGATGATATGTACACTTGTTTGAAATTGTGCAAATATTGATATACCATCTTAAACACCCTATATTACTTACTGGATCAATCAACACTATTACAACCAGTCACATAAATTATTCTGTGGTAGTAATATGTGTTGTACTTTTTGTGGTAGACACTTCCAAGTGATACACTGTTAAAAACCCAGGTTTAGAAAATCCTGAATATTATAAATAAATAATATAATAACTTAAATATATAGCATCTTCTTCAAATAAAATTTGTTGAAATAATTTAGATGAAATAATTTAGCTCAATCGGTTAAAAAATCTGATGTAAAATCATTCATACAAAAGTTAAAAAGTGAATGTTTAAATGTGGTCAAAATGAAATCTACAAAAGTCTCAATGCGTACGAATATTGAAATTTGTTGCGCTTGCTACACGGTTTAAAACTCTGAGCATTCCGTATTTAAAACAAAAAATAACGTGTTTTTCTTCAAAACTCAAACGTGACAGAGAATCTAAATAACTTCACATTCGATCTGTATTATTTAACTGGCTTGATGTGCGGTTAGATTTAAACATTTAAAAATAAAACAACTGTCATAAAATGTGATAATGAAACGTGTTCTACGTTCCTCCCAGTTAGCGGGAACTTAGCCTATCTGGTGGTTTACAATTACATGCAAAGTTTGCTGGCAGAAGCAAATTAGGTTCTTGCATTTCAGGCTCAATATTAGGTTTCATAGTGCTACGGGTAATTTGTATGGCAAGCTCACGTGGTTTAAGTACAGGCTGTGCAGTGATCATAGGTTCAACGGCTGCCTTATGATCAGGCTATGCGGGTAGATTTGGATTATTACCAACTATAATCGAAGTTTCCGGCTCTGTACTCTCAGGTAAGCTAGCTGTCTTCTCTAAATCATATCAGTAGCTGTAGAACTCTGCTCATCTCTTATCTCGAGCTCAGCTCTCTGTGTATCCGTATCTGTCTGTTGCGACGGCTCTGACACAACAGATCGGCTCTGACACAACAGATCTCTAAAAATCAAGGTCTAAGATTTTCAAAATCGAATTAAAAATCTTTAAAGGCATATCTCAAAATTCTGGCTCTAGAGTTCTCTTCTAACTGATCCTAAGGGGGCCGGGGGGGGGATCATGTTTTTTGTCCATTCGGTACCCTATATTTTCAAAACGGACAAAAAATAGAGCGACAAAAACGGACAAAAAATAACAAAAATGGAAATAACATTTAGATGCTTCCTCCTCTTCCTCCTCCTCCTCCTCTTCCTCTTCCTCTTCCTCCTCCTCCTCCTCCTCCTTCTCGTCCTCCTCCTCTTCCTCCTCAGTCTTCCTCCTCCTCCTGGGTTCTCCTCCTGGGTTCTCCTCCTGGGTCCTCCTCCTCATGGGTCCTCCTCCTCATCTTCCTCCTTCTCTTCCTCAGTCCTTCTCCTCCTCCTTCTCCTCAGTCTTCCTCGTCCTCCCTCTCAGTCCTCCTCCTCAGTCATCCTCTTCAGGCATCCTCCTCAGTCCTCCTCAGTCCTCCTACTCCTCCTCCCCTCCTCCTCAGTCCTCCTCCTCAGTCCTCCTCCTCTTCATCCTCCTCCTCCTCCTCCTCCTCCTCCTCTTCCTCCTGACTCCTCAGTCCTCAGTCCTCCTCCTCAGTCCTCTTCCTCATCCTTCTCCTTAGTTCTCCTCCTCCCCAGTCCTCTTCAATCCTCCTCCTCCTCAGTCCTCCCCCAGTCCCCCTCCTTCTCCTCCTATTCAGTCCTCCTCCTCCCCAGTTCTCCTCAGTCCTCCTCCTTCTAAGTAGTCCTCAGTCCTCCTCCTCCTCCTCCTCCTCCTTCTCCTCCTCCTCCCTCTCAGTCATCCTCCTCAGCCATCCTCCTCAGTCCTCCTCAGTCCTCATCCTCCTTCTCAGTCCTCCTCCTCATCCTTCTCCTTAGTCCTCCTCCTCCTCAGTCCTCCTCAGTCCTCCTCCTCAGTCCTCCCCCAGTCCCCCTCCTCCTCCTCCTATTCAGTTCTCCTGGGTCATCCTCCTTCTCAGTCCTCCTCCTCCTGGGTCCTCCTCCTCCTCCTGGGTCATCCTGATCCTCCTCAGTCCTCTTTCTCCCCCCTCCTCAGTCCTCCTCCTACTCCTACTCCTCAGTCCTCCTCCTCATCAGTCCTCCTCCTCAGTCATCCTCCTCCTGGGTCCTCCTCCTCCTCTTCATAAGTCCTCCTCCTCCTTCTCCTCAGTCTTCCTCCTCCTCCAAAAAATGTGTAGACTATTTTTAGTACCTAATTGAGGATTAAAAATTTGAGAAAGGACCATGGTCATTAACCGGGCTACTCATTTCTGCAGATAGCCTGTTACAAATTGTGGAGAAAATTTAAATCAAAAGTTATAATTTTTGTCCGTTTTTGTCTGTTCGGTACCCTATTTTCTGAAAACGGACAAAATCGAACGGACAAAAACGGACAAAAAATAACATGATCCCCCCCCCCCCCTCCTAAGAACATCCTGAAAGTTTGAGGGTGATTGCTAAAAAATATAGGAGAAGATAGATTTTTAGACTCGATTTTCAGAACGCCCGATTGAAAATCGCTCGCGCAATACAATTACGCATAAGCGCTGACCTTTGACCGGCAATAATTTCGGCTAGGAACAATATTTTTCCATGGGACCAAAAGCAGCTGATAGATATCACTCCCCTCTATCAGAAACAACTATAAAGTCGATTTCGAGAGAATTTTGATCAAGACCCCCCCGGCCCTCTTAACTCAGCGTCAATCAAAGGTTTGTCATCACCGAAGTAGTGCACGCTGTATCTAGAGGTTTCATTTCAAACTCCTCTGTTAACTCGTCATCAAACTCTCTTGTCTCTGCCGATGTGTCTAAAGGCAGTGGGAAACGGGAACACCGATCAGCATTACAATGTTTACCAGTGGGTTGAAACTGGATCTTGTAAGTGTAACCGATCTTGTAAGTGTAACCGCTCAGGAACAATGACCATCGTTGTAAACGACCTGCCACCATGCTAGGAATTCCACGGCTAGGGTGAAAAATAGATTGCAGCAGCTTGTGGTCTGTAACTAGGGTAAATGGTCGTCCAAAAAGATAACGGTGCAGTCTCTTAGTCGCCCAAACTATTGCCAATGCTTCTTTCTCTATCATGGAATAGTTCCTCTCAGATTTCGTCAGTGTTCGAGATATATACTCGATCGGTCACTCTGTCCCATTTTCATCGATATGTGATATAACAGCTCCTAAACCAACGGATGAAGCGTCCGTGTCAAGCTTTAACTCCAGCTCAGGGTTGTAGACTGATAGAACCAAGTCAGACGATAACAGCGCTTTTAACTCATCAAAAGCATTCTTTTCTCCATCTCCAAAGTGGAAAGGAATGTCAGCGGGTCTTAAACGGTTTTAACCGTTTAAAAGTGGCTCGACAACTGTTGACATGTTGGGAATAAAACGTGAATAGTACTGTGCACCACCAAGGAATGATATCATCTCCGCTCTAATAGTAGGATACGGTGCTCTCACTATGGTTTCAACTTTTGAACTCAGCGGTCTTATCCCGTCAGCAGCACTTCATGGCCTAGAAATGTCACCTTAGGCTCCATGAAAACACACTTGTCCAGCCGACATTTGTAGCCTTCATTCTCTAGTGCTGTAATCACCGTTCTCACGTTCTTCATGTGACTCTCATCATCAGGTCCTGTTATTAGGATGTCGTCAACACGCCATGCCGTGTTCTCCGTCTTTCTCAAGGTATCATCAATCTTGCGTTCAAATATCGGTCCGGCAGATGAAATATATAATATATATGTATATTCTTTCTCACGGTTTTCGTGGAAAGTCGTGTTAAAGTTGAAGTCGTGGTGTCAGTAAAATGGCAACAGATATACAACCCCAACATACTGCGCCCCGATTTACTGCAAACCCCAATTTACTGTGGCCATTTTCTTCCCCAAATAGGGCTTAACATACATAATGCGAACAATTATAACCCCGATTTACCGGGCTTTTTCCTTTCTCCTGGAAACTCCGCTGTAAATCGGGGTATTACTGTTTCTTCTTCTTCTAACCCAATGACTTTAGACCTAGCTTCAAGATGATGTTCAGAGGAGGAAAGCAGTACTGTAAGTTTTACTTACAAGGTCACTGCAAAAACGGTGCAAAATGTGCTTTTGAACACGAACGGCCTAAGTGTCACTTCTACAGTAAAGGGATGTGTTTCCGTGGTAACCTGTGTTACTTTGTCCACGCTGAGCCTGAACATGTAAGTGGACTTGTATTGTGAATAATAAACTTTGAAACATTAAACATTGCTTGTAACAGATTTGACACATTTATTTCATCTTTGTGTTCACACTTGTTAACGGCTTTTGTTGTAGACTGATGCTGCGCTGATGATAACAAAGATAGATGAGATAGGGGCACTACCCTTCAAGTCCCCCCCCACCTGTGTGCCAGACCAATCTAACACGTGATGGCTTAGTCAGGAAACTGAGAGGCATCCAGAAGAGAGCTGGTACGGTGGAGGACTACTATGAGCGATTCAATGAGGTATAGTTAACATAGTGTAGAAGTAATTGAGTATGTTGACAGACTTGTATTTACTCTTAACACTAGGCTGAACTGCAAATAGCAATCATTATTTTAGGTTTGATATTTCGATGGTTATAATTTGTTCAAATTAACATGCATCTTAATCGTTCCGAATCGTTAGAGACAACTTGCAATTTTGAGTATCTTCAGTCATTTGCCTGACTTTGTCATTCTCCTTAATTCTAATGATATTTTACAAATTATTTACATTACATTAAGTTGCATTACATAACACTGTACATAACGCTGTACATTGCATTACTTGTTATAATCATAGAGATATAGTGTACACTGTGCGTCACGTCATGATAGTCGGTGATATTTATTGGGAATATTAAAAAGGAATTCTATTGTTCAACTAATTGAAACAGGTATTGGAAGAATTTTACCTGTACGAGATAACAAGAGACGATATGATCGAAGTGCTCCAGATACTATGTGAAGACGATGAGGTCACCAACGTGTACAAGTAGGTCTCTTTAAGTTGTTATACCAAATTATCAGATCTAACATATTTAGTGACTAAGTATCACTTTGTCA